AAATATTGATTTTTTGTGTGTGTAACGTGGTATGTTGAGTGCAGCATAGTCTTTAGTTTCTTACGATTAAGGAACTCAAATTACCTATATTGACAAGCTAGAATCTGAAATAAGAACCTCCTATCTTTTTTATTTGCTGAGATATTGGTACATGAACTGACTCGGACACAGTTGCCATGCCCACCTCTCTCCATTTTTGAAAATTTGCTTATGTACATTTATTTTTGTCTATGATGTGTGAATAATCAACTGAAAGCTCAGAATGTCCCCCTAGTGGCTTTCTCAGCCTTTTTGAAATATACAAATACAGAACACTTTCTTTTTTATACAAGATTCCAAGTGGTAAGGTAAAATTTTAGTGAGCTCAAAATTTCATATTTTTTAGACACCAATACAAATTAGTTACTAAGCTTGATAAATTCTATGGTACTGATATAGCAATTTATGATTTTTTGGTTTTTTCAAAATGTATATATAAAACCTTAAAAAAATTATTTCATTTCAAATCCTCCATGGAGGATAAGGATTAGCAACCTACAACAAGCAGTAATGAGTACAAAGCTCAGAACTAGAAGAGATAATTGTTTGTTATACTTCTTTATTGACTATTCTATGTTTTAAGAAAAATAAGTTTAAGAACTTATTTGTAAATAGTAATATACACTCACATATAATGTATTATAACTGAAATGTGACTGTATTTTACAAACTACTAGTCCACTAAAACACAGCGAAGACAGGTCACTTTGTAAAGGCCAGTTTCATACTCTTGTATACAGTAACATACGTGCACATGCAGCACATCATTTTAACTTCTGTAATGTTAGCCAGTCACAGCTGTAATAGGTCATTATAATAAATACATATAAATGTATAATGTTATGAGATTTAAGCTATTTAGACTAAACATTTGTGTTTTTTGTGTTATAATTTGTAGTCACTTTAGAATAAAAAAGCATAATTTATATTTATTTCCTAATTTTTTATGGTGATTATGAGGTCAGTCAAATTGACCGAACTCGTACAGAGATTTGATAGTGAAAATAGCAGATAAAATATAGTTTTTTCTTAAAAAACGTTATTCTAATTATCTGGAGGTTATAAAATTTTGCACGTGAAATTTGAAAAGTTTCTGTTGCATAAAAGTATTTTTAATTGTAAAATTAAAATTACTCTACATGTTGGATAGTCAACATTCCAAAAGAAAAAAGTGGTTAGAAAAACATTACTTAAAAAATGTTAAACATAATAAAACAAATCTGATATCTTGCATAAAAAAGCTTTGTAATGTTTATTGATAATCTGCATAATTTCATGAAGATGCACTTACTGATTTAAAAGTTATAACATGAAAACTATAACAAGCACAAAATGGTTACAAGATCTGTCCCTGAGACCAAGCTCATGCTGAAAGAGTTAAATAGCAAAACTTTTGGGCATGATCAAAAAAGGATAGAAGGTTTTTCATGAAGGTGTGAGAATTGTGCATTTCGGATCTTCAATTATTAATTCAGTGACTAGTTTATAGGCTACTTCCCTTGCAATTTGGGTATATAAGTTTTGTACTTCAAAACTTGCAATTTTTTGGATGTAATTGTTTTAAAGCTTCAAGAAAATTGTAAACCTTATTGGTGTTTTATGAGTTGTGTGATGAAATAATCCAAGTTAGGTGTTTTCCAAAATGTTCTTATACCTTTTTTTTAACCAAAAACACCATTAGTTAATTATGTTTTTTTTAAAGATATGTAAAGAAATATTTATCTTCACATATATCTATGTGTTGTTTGTAATTTGAACTCATGTAATTGATGGGTAATTTGAAGATAATTTACTACTATGGGTGAAATGTTGATTTCTAGATACCTAAAAAAACAAAAATCTGCTGTTAGTATCACTACAACTGGTTTTTAGTTAATCCTATAGAAGAACACAGACATTACTTGAAAACACATGAACAGGTACAGTGATAAACAATGTTTTATAAAAGTATTGTTGAATAGAAGATTATTGGAAACACATAATAGAAATTCAATATTTGGGTTTAAAGATATTGCATAATTTAACATACTTCACTGACAATTCTGAAATAAGCTGATCAGAAATTAATGTAGGCTAAATGAAGATGCATTTTTTGGTTTTGTTACGATTATTTATCTTCGTTTATTTGTAGAACTTTCATGGAAGCTAAAGCAGAGAAAATAACACAAAATATAATGTTTTGCCAAAAAAGAACGTTTGATATTCATTCATGAGGTCTGTGAGGTTATGCAAATGAAATTTGAAACTTTAAGATGAAAAAATATTATTAATCTAACATTAAAATCACCTTCCATTCAGACTAGTCAATCCTATGATTCCATATATGTATGGATGGATCTTTAGTTAAAATACTTAATTTAAAAATTGATTTTTTTGTGTTAAAATCTTGCTACATATTTGTTTACAGAACACCCATGGTGAAAATGTATACAGAGTACGAGTTTGAACTTTTCAAATAGATGAGACATTGCCCACTTTTGTTGTTAAAATGTTAGGAATGTCTTTGCATACAGGATCAGTCATTCTGATTGACCTTGTAACCACCAGGTAACAATGGAAGTATCCATACTATAACTTTTAAGATGGTATGTGTATCTCCATGAGCTTGTTGAAATTTGCATAAAAATCTACCTTCGACCTAACATTATACCATTCATAAAAAGGACCTTTTAAATAATTGGCAACCCTTTATAACATAGTTTCATCTGGTAGACAGTTGCTTGTTTTATAAATCTTACATTCATAAAGCCATCGGTTTAGAGAAATGTCAACTGAATCAGGCAGAGTGTGGTTCATAAATATTTTTTGATCTCATGCAGCAACATTCTTGAATTTCAGTAGTTTGTAATACTGAATCAGTTACATTGTTAGATAAAACATAACAGTAGAGGAGAACACAAAGATTCCCAAGTAATAGAATGTACCTTTTACTGACCTGTAATGGTCATGAGTAAAACATGTATCTCTTAGTTTCAGTTGTTGTCATGATATTAATGTTTGTTCATAATGAAACAAGTCATTCTTTATAACTGATTATTTTGCCTATCTTCCCCCAATCAATATAGCATTTATCTAGAGTTGTATGATCATTTCTAGAAAATCTATTAACAAAAGTACATTTCTTGGAATTGAAAATATATGTAACAGCCCATGTACTTTAGTTCTAAATGTATACAAAAAATATCCATCGAAAGTATTACCAAAACTATTTGAGTCCACATTTTCTGAAAAAGGATGAAAGTTCAAGCTACAACACAATATTCCATATTATGCCTACTCAAATTACTGTAAATTTCCAGTCGTAATACAGAAGCTCTTCATCTACACCTCTTAGTTCATAGCCAGGTTGATCCATGTTCACACCAATTTGTTATTCCCACTAAAGATTCAACTGGACAACTATCATTTCCAGCAGTGTAATTGAGTTCATCCACCCAAATGGAATCAGAACCACCTGGCAAAACCCCAGAAATTGGGCTCCATTTTGAGTGCCAGTTTTTAACTACTCAGTTGTTATGTATTCCACGAAACATGTGGGAGGTTACAACGTGGGATAACTGTAATGAAATAAAATGCATAAACTATAATGTGTAAAAACTGGTCATCTTTTACATACCAAAATACATATAATGATGCTGACACTTCTATAACAGCTCTTATGTACAGGTGTTTCCTAGCTGAAAATTTAATTAAACTGTATTGAACACAGTTTAGAATGACAAAAAGCAAAAACTAATTTAAAATAGATACACAATTAACAACATTTTAAATTCAGGCCAATCTATGGCTTCAAAAATGTTGACTCTACCTGTATCGATGTTTTCCACATCATCATCAGGGGTGAACTTTCAAGACATAATGTTGTTTGTTATTTATTATTATTCTTACTAAGGCTTCAGTGCTTTAAAATAATTCCTTTAGCTAGTTAATCTGAACTTGATGATAACATCTATCAATCTTCAGACAAAATAATACAAAGTCTCTACTGAGAACAAACAGTGTAACATCATACATCATTTGACAGATTGAAACTCTGTCTTTCTGTTGGTTATAAGTGATGTGATAGAAAACATCAGAGAGAATTATTGACAATTTGTGAATGAGTGGATATGATAGGTTGTAGTAGCAAGTGGGTCAGATTTTCTAGTTAATGTATTTCTAAACAAGGAAGACTGACTGCTATAAAAATTAAATTATGCTTTAGTAATATGTAAACTGTAATGAGTAATTTACATTAAAATCGGGACAAGTGAGAGGGGTGATGGGGGGGGGGGATAAAGGAAGGGCAAATCTGAGCGAACAAGTGTTATTATGCTCGTATAAAAGTAGATTGAGAATTTATTTGAACATTTGTAAAATTAAAACATATAATATTGAAATTTAATTTTTGAACTACATTTTGATATCAAGTTTATTTGTATACATTGATGACAAAGTTGTTAAATTAAATTTTGAATGTAAATCTTTTAAAAGTCATGACGTGCACTTTTACCCCTTCGTTGCAAATAGAGTTAATATATATATATATATATATATGTGTGTGTGTATATTTATTGTTATTAGATCTTGAAGTTTGCTTTCCATGTTCATATGTTTCTATGCTTTAAAATGATTAGCATTATTTTCTGAAAATTAAAAATATTTGTTTTCTCTCATTTGTAAATAAAATTAAACCTTTGAACACTTCAAATTTACTCTTACTAGAAACTTTTTTTATTGCTGCCCTATTCTAATTTTCTATTCTTTTTTAGGGAGTCATCAACAAAAAGAACTGTATATTCCACTGATTCAGATTACGATGCTGAAATAAAAGAAGATTTTTTACCTCGGAATTGGGAAACTAGGTATAACTAAATTTGCAACATTGTTCAAGGTTATCTTAATATCATTTAGTTAGTTTTTATTACTGCATGTAGAACCAGTGTTCTGAGGAAAAACTTTTCAACTTTTAAGTTTTAAATTCAGTATAAATTTACTAAATACTGAAACTTGTCATTCTAAATATAATCTTTATGTAAGACCACGGCTACATACTACAATGGGCATTCAGGAGTGTTTTTATCACTTGACCAAGCTACTATATCATCTATTGGATGTAGATTATGCTCAACTGAAGGGGTGGTGTAGAGGTGTAAATAATACCAGATGTATGTAATCTAGGGTTGTGGATATTGAACTTGGACTTTGATGATCTGACTTGAAGGATAAGATTTTATTAAAGATTACAAGTATTTTGTAAACAAAGAATGAGATTGTTTTAATTAAGTATTTTGATTAAAGATTTGTTATTTTGGTACTGTAGTTATTTGCAATGAGACTGAATATTTTGAGCATTATCATCAAAGTATTTTGCAGTGAAATGTTTATGATTATAAATAGAAAAAATGAACATACCTTTTAATTTTTGTCAAATTATCTTGAAAATCTTCTTATTTTTTCTCTTGCTATAATGGATGTAGCATGTATGACAGTATCTATGTGTGTAACCAAAACTCATGTGCCATCTATTGAATGGTACCATGAACAAAAATTCGTAAAAGATTTCACACTTTGAGTATTCAAGATTCAGACAATTATAAAAACAACTGTTATGTGCAACAACCATTTCTTTATAATAAAATGCAATTTTAAATAAAAGTACTCTCATCACAATAAGAGCATGACATTCCCTAGGACTATACATGAGGTATTTGATTATATATTTATTTTTTCTATAAAGGATAGCACTTTTTAATATATAAAAACATTACAGTTTATATCAGTAAAATCTATGAAAAGTTTGAGCTGTGTAGATGGAATCATTTTGATGCAATGTGTTGTGTATGACTAAAGAGCACAATCAGAGAAAACCCTTTTTTAGAAAATGTTCACTTTTCTAAATTATTTCAATTAGGTATGAATATTATGATTAGACAAACAGCTGCTCATAGAGTGGCGTTTCTGCCAGTATTCTTAATTATAAGTTTTTACTTTTTTCAAAAAAGATTGCTTTTGATGTTTTATTTTCCCTTCCTGTCTTTTAGTATTGATACTTATTGTGACACATGTCAACAGCCATTCCTCAGGTGTCCTCAGCAGTGAGACTAGCTATTGTCAGAATGACGGGATATTTACCTACTACGCTAAGCCTGATAAACTGTGGCAGTTTGGCTGATATTTTAAAAATTTTCAAGCTTTTCTGATATGTATTTATAATGCATAACTAACATATAATTAACTAAAATATAAAACTAAAACCTAAATAACATTTAATTGTCTTTCTAATTAACATATTTATAGGTGAGAAATAACACTGAAGTGCTAGAGGCCTTACAAGCAGCAACAGTGTTAAGAGTGTTTGACAAGCTCTCTGTAGAATTCTTATCACCAATTTTAACCCTATATGCCCAGGCATCATTTACTGCGCATGTCACGAGACTTAGTGATTTACATTGAAAATTTTATTAAACTACTTTTTATTTGTTATACCAATTAGTATAGCATAATATCTTAGTTAATTATCCATATATTGATAGTATACAAGTTTTAATTTTATAAGGCAATATTTTTAAAAATCCTGAATTTCCCCTAGTGTGACACCTCTTGACATATTTTCTTTAGGCATCTCCTCTTCTCTATTTTATTCTCCACCTCTCCAATAAGAAATGTAAATTACTCACTATAAAATTGTCATTGCTCAAACAAACCATAACTTTTATAGCCTTTGGTTACAGAGCCATCAAATAGAAAATCAGACCACTCCTGCCACACCCACCTGTAACATCCTGTTAATAGGATCTGTTAATAGCTCTCTCTGTTACGTTTAATTCTATATTCTCTATAACCAATAGAAAATCAAGGTTTTCTTCAATCAAATGAGTATTATATTATGTTGTTTTCTGAATGAAGAATTGTGAGTTTCTCTGTTAGTACAAGCTTCGATCCCACAGGAAAGATAACGACGAGCTTGGATGCATCTGTAACGGCTCTTGTCGCATAGTTAGAATGTCAGAAAAAATTTTGAGAGTTAGGGGAATTGTCTACTAGATGTTATTAGTCTTATGTTCTTTGGTGCATTATTTAATTAAGTAAAAATTTAGTGCATTACTACCATTAATATAAAAAAGTAGAGTTAACTGTCATCGACAATCGAAAACAAGAAAAAGATTTGGTTAGTACTTTATTTCTTGTTTTTCATGTTTATTCTTTTTTTATTATTATAAAAGTAATTAAAATGTAAAAATAGAAATTTTTTAGGTTAGTTAAGGTTAAATTAGGTAAAATAAATAATATAATAAAAATGTTTCACTAGGTATGCACGCATGCGAGCAGCTCGTAGTAGCTCGTGGGTAATGTCATTTGATAGCATAATGGGAGCTGCACACTCTCCAAGTGATTTACAACTTATAATGGCACAAATAGCAGTTAGACATGGTTCAAAGGGCATTAAAACAATAAAATTTAATTATAAATAGA